CCTGGTTCATCCATTCTACCCTGTGCTGGGCTCGGAGCTGGGGTGGGGACATATTAGCAGGAGAGGACAGGGATCTCCAGAGCAGATGGGACTGGTCCACCGAGGCTGTGGACGAGAGTATGCGGGGAAGAGGGACAGGAGCGAGGTGCTCCCTGAGAACAGCAACAATTGTGCAAGCTGAGCCTCGGTTTCCTCATCTGCAAAGGTGGCCAGGGCCTTGCTCTTGGGCTAAGGACCTTGCTAGCTCAGGGACCAGCAGAACGGGCACCCGTGGGAGCTCGTTAGAAATGCAGAGTCCCAGGCCCCACCTCGGACTCACTGTATCGGACTCTGCGTTTGAACACGCTCCTAGAGGTTCGAAGGCAACAGCCAAAGCAGGGCCACGGAGATTACGTTGACGCGCGGCTCCTGAAAGGCAGATTGGCTGATAAGCAGACATTGAACTCAGGGTCTCTCTGGATGCTGATATTCTAATTGCTCTTTTTTTTTTTTTTTTGAGACAGAGTCTCACTCTGTTGCCCAGGCTAGAGTGGATGCCGTAGGCGTCAGCCTAGCTCACAAGCAACCTCAAATCTCCTGGCTCAACGATCCTCCGTGCCTCAGCCTCCCGAAGTAGCTGGGAAGAGGCATGCACCACCATGCCGGCTAATTTTTTCATAATAATTTTAGTCGCGCAATAACATTCTTTCTATTTTTAGTAGAGACGGAGTCTTCGCCTTGCCTCAGGCTGCCTTATCGAACTCCTCACCTTGAGCGATCCGCCTGCCTTGGCTCCCAAGCTGCTAGGCATTACAGGCGGTGACCACTTGCCAGCCTGAAAATCCATCACTCTTCAACTGTCAACTTGTCTTACAACGTACGCACACACACACTTAAACCCTACTGAATGGAACAAAGTGAATTAATGAAACCTTTGTCCCTTCCTTGTGTAGCACAACCTTGTTTTTCCTCCCTTCCAGGTGGGAACCGGCCGGCCATCCGGAAGGCAGTGGCCCCACGGCTCACACCTTTGTGATCGACTGTGCATTCATGGCGAAGCACACTCCCTGGCAAGCACCTGCACCGCCCCGAGCCCAGGCCACCACCAAGGGGGGCCGTCGCCCCGCAATGAAGACCATACATCGTGTCTGTGGGAAACACGAGCCTCTGACTCAGGAACCACCCGGGTGGGCTAAGCCTGCCAGGCCGGGACGAAAGAGAGGGGTGCAGACCCCAGCTTCTCACCCGGAAAGCGCCCCGGGAGGGTTCCTGAGGCCAAGGAGGACCCTTGAAGGCTGGGCCTGTGAGGCTACTAGCAACCTGGGGCACAACTCAAGACCCTCAGGGCCCTCTCCATGCGTACCGTGCGTGGGCAGGTGGATTAGCCGGAAGAGCCCGTGGGGGCGGAGGCTGGAGCACGGCTCCTGGGGGCTTGCGGTTTTCAGGGCCACCCCCATTCCTCAAGACCAAGCGCGCAGTCCTTCCTGCCGAGCCGAAACTAGAAAATTATTAGATCCACGAAAGAATCTGAAAACGGCCAATCACGTGCACCCCACTTCCTCTTCCTCCCAGTCTCTTGCCAGCCGTTCAGCAGAGGCGGGCTATCGGCTCACTCAACCCTTGCAGCAGCGCTGATGAGGCTTCCAGTGCCCGCCCTGCCGGAGAGTCTGGGGCAGACAAGCTCGGCTCTTTGGAGCTGTTCTTGGGCAGGGGAAATGGGCGAAAGGTTAAACACGTATGCCAAAATGAAAAAGATGATTTTGGACAGTGCGGATGCACGTTGCAGGAACTAAATCCAACGCTGGGCTGGAGAGCGACTGCGTAGGCTTTGGTACATCCAGTGCTTGAGAAAGCGTCTCTGAGCAGACGAACAAAGTGATGACCCAAAAACGGAGAGGGAACCCAGCCCGGCGACACATCCAGCTCCCAGCGCCAACCTGCTGGCATTTTATCTCCCCAGGGTGGACCAGAGAGTGGTTGGGATGGCCAGCGTGACAGCAGGCAGCATGTGGCTGTGTGCTGCCGAAGTCTTGGACACTGGCCAGGCAGGGGACACTGGCAGGGAGTTGAGGCAACGGCGGTGGAGGTTCTTGGGAGGCTCTAGTTAGGATGGCGACAGGAGACTCCATCCCCGAAGGCAGGCCCAGGTGGGACCAACGAGGGCGCATGGAACAGTGAGGGAAAGCGGGCTATCTCGATGTTTCTGCAGCATCCAGCGCCTGCAGATGCCAGCGCTCCACGCATGGCCCCTTCGGGAGGTACAGAGAAGAGGCAGTGTGAGGAAGCTACAGGTCCCTGCTCCAACAGGACAGTCTCTGGTGTATCACCAGCGTGGTGCGAGGGGTGTTAAGCCCCAGAGATTGCTGGCACGTTGTGTGAATTCCTCCATCTGACACTGCAAATGATGGAGCGGTCTCTGAGGGCTCCAAAAAATTATTGAATGCTTATTGTATTCCGATGACTAGTTTACCGGTCCCTACAAACACAATTAGACATTGGCTTCTGTTCAGAGAAAATACAACTCTCACAGTGCTAGTATAGGAAGGCACCATCTTTTGTACCCATTTCGCAGGTTTAGGGAACTGAGCACAGAGAGGTAGAAGAAAGTGCACTCAAATACCCAGAGTGGTACAGTTGAGATTTAGAACGCAGGCAAAGCCGCGCCCAAGCTTCTTGCCTCCTGGACCGTAGGGCACACAGCCTCTCTTCTGGCAGGGTTCTCTTGCTCCTCTTTTCCGAGGGTGCATACAGAAGTCACAGACTCATGATCCTGTTCTCTTCGGGGAGCTCACAGAACTGCCTGGCGGGATGAGACCATTTGAAGAGCAGCGCCTTTAATCAGAACGATCGCCGTACGCTCGCTGATAGCGCGCCAGCTAAAGGGCAACAACAGGTGGTTATGTTGGGGCAACGAGACGGGGGTGTGTCTACAGCCATCTGGGACAGGAGACTCATAGTGCAGGGACTTCCTACAGAAGTAGTCTGTGACCCCATATACAATAGGCAGGGATGAAGCCCAGAGGTGGGGGAGTTCTCCGGGTCAGGAGGACAGAGTCATTCAAGTGTGGCTGAGTTGATCATTCATTCATTAATATTAGCCAAAGAGTTTTACTGGGCACCACTGTTGGCCAGGCTCGGGGGTAGAACCCTGGGGATGGAGCCAATGGAATAAACCAGACAAAGCTCTAGGTGGGTTAAGACAGCAATGCACACAAACAGAACAATAAGAGTCAGAGCCAGGGACTTTTCAGACGAGCACAGCACTAGATGGAACCTGGCAGGACCCGCTGAACAGGTCTTATAGATTTAATTCCGAGAGAGCCGTAGAAATTGAAGGAGGAAGTGGCTCTTCTGCCTGTTAGAGGGTGGCTTTAATCCAGGCAAAGCTGGGAGTGGAGTGTTTTGGACTAGGACGTGGAGGTGACAGGTGGCATAGTCCTTGGTTGACAAATCTCCCATCATGAAAGGCCCCTCATACCATTCCCTCTGTTGAGAAACATCAGACTAGTAAGATGACCCAAAGACCAAGGCTCGCACTCACTAGGAAGTATTGAGACCCTCAACGGAGAGCTGGGACCTGCGGCTGCACATCAGCTTATGCATCCCAGCATGTGGCGCCCTATCACCAGCCTGAGGCCACTGAGGGAGGAGGAACCGCTGGGCTGGGGCTAGAGCCACCGAAGCACCCGGCCAGCCGCACAGCCGCCGCAGAGGTCTTGTTTTCAGAAAGCCAAACTTTGGTCTGACCAACACGTCTTTTGTCCGGAATACTGAGCTAGCTCTACTCGCCAAGGCAACCCACCCATTGAAGGTTACATTTCGAATTATTTTTTTTTTTTTTCCTTTTTTTTTTGAGACAGAGTCTCGCTTTGTCCGCCAGGACTAGAGTGAGTGCATGGCGTCAGCCTAGCTCAACAGAAACCTCAACTCCTAGGGCTCAAAGTGATCCCCTGCCTCAGCTCCCGAGGTAGCTGGGACTACAGTCATGCGCCACCTGATGCCGGTAATAATTTTGTATATATATTATTTAGTAGTCAATAATTTCCTTCTTTATAGTAGAGACAAAACTTAGGGTCGTCGCTCTTGTCAGGCTGGATTTTCGAAAGCTCCTGACCTGGTAGCAATACATCTCTGCAACCTCGGCCTCTGCCTACAGAGTGGCTTCTAGGATTAACTGGCAGTTGAGCCACCTCGCCGTGGACCTCTGCACATTTCAGAATATTAACTGTGGAGGTCTTGGTATGGGTGGATTTCATGAGAATCCCTGGACTTGCTTGCTTGCGTAATAGGAAGATAAGATGTTCAATTACTATTGGCCAGACCTGACATGTCTCTGCAACTCTACATGCACACATCAGTCTCCCATCACGTTGTCCGGTTCGTCTGTGGGCACTGATTTTATTGCCATTTTAAGATGAGGAAACTGACCTATGAAGGGGTTGGGGGCTAAGAGGATGGGGTGTTCAGTTGCCTTGTTTTTATTGAGACAGAGTCTCACTCTGTCGCCCTTTGTAGAGTGCAGTGTTGTCATTGTAGCTCACAGCAACCTCTAACTCCTGGGCTCAAGCGATCCTTCTGCCTCAGCCTCCTGCAATGCCCAGCTGAGTTTTTTTTTCTTTTCTTTTCTTTTTGGTAGAGAGAGGGTCTCGCTCTTGCTCAGGCTGGTCTCCAACTCCTGAGCTCAAGTGATCCTCTCACCTTGGCCTCCCAGGGTGCTGGGATTAAAGCTGTGAGTCACCGCGCCCGGCCTAAACCCTGTACTTTTAAAAAAGTAATTTTTTGAGTTACCCAAATAACGCACAAGTCTGTTCTCTTAACTATGTGCTCTTAACCACGACATGGGCTCAGAAGGAAGCCTGTGTCCTGGTAGGCTGGATGACACAGGAAATACATTAAGTCCACCCAAGCCTTGAGAATCCCGGCAACTCCAAGTGGGTCGGGATGTCTGCCATTGGGTCCCGCCTCCACTTCCGCTCAGCTGGTCTTTTTGCGGGGCTGAGGGACCCTCTGCCACCTCTTACCTGAGCTGGTCCCCAGGTCTGTCTCAAGGCTGGTGCCTTGGAGGCTGGCTCTCCAGTCCCTGGGGTTTTCTGATGGGACCATGCCACTGCTTCAGTGCCTGCTAGTTCTGGCAGGAGGGGAGCTGTCCTTGGCCACCTCTTCCAGGATGTAGCTCCCTCACGCTGGGACCAGAACTTTTATATTTGCCGGATCCGGATCCTCTGAGTGAATTTCCACCAGGAGCCAAAGGAACTGGCCTTGGGCAGTTAGAGGATTGCTTTGATTAACAGGGTTATGTCAACAGGATTTGTGTTGGGTCGCTGGGAGGCAGGCCTCCTACCAAACAGACACTATTTCTTCCAACTCCAGCTACTTCCTGATTGGGGATAGGCCTCTGGAATCTTCTCACCCTGGCCTCGGTTTCCCAAAACCTTAGTTGTTCCACTGCTTCACCAGTTTGGTGGTTTGTTTCTTTCTATCTGAGAACTGTATGTGATACAGTTAACGCTTACTTAACTGTATGTAATACAGTTAATACTTACTTAACATGTCCTTGAAGTCAGCCAACTGTTTTTGCTGAAAAAGAAATGTACTTTAAAAGTTGGTCTTGGCCGGGCGTGGTGGCTCACGCCTGTAATCCTAGCACTTTGGGAGGCCGAGGCGGGCGAGATAAAGCTTCACTCGCTGGATTCCTAACAGGCCATGAACCACTATCGTCTGTGGTCCGGGGAGTGGGGACCACAGGCTTACACAATACAACAAACAAACCTTAGCTAACTAAATGAGTTTAAACCAGCTGGGCACAGTGGCTCACGCCTGTTAATCCTAGCCTCTGGGAGCCGAGACGTCGATTGCTCAAGGTCAGGATTCGAAACCAGCCTGAGCAGAGCGAGACACTGTCTCTACTATAAATAAAAGAAATTAATTGGCCAATTATATAACATAAAAAAATTCAGCCAGGCCTGGTGGTGCAGCTGTAGTCACAGCTTACTGGGGAGGCTGAGGCAGGAGGGAATCACTTGAGCCCCAGGAGTTTGAAGGTTGCCATGTGAGCTAGGCTGACGGCAACGGCACTCACTCTAGCTGGGCAACAAAGCGAGACTCTGTCTCAAAAAAAAAAACACAAAAAAACTAAATCAGTTGAAACCTAGGGGATATGGGTGCAATTGGATTCTAAAAGTTCTAGGTCAGAGAAGAAAAACATAACATTAGATTTGGCTAAATAAATGTGCGCATTACAGAGATTCGGGGTTTGATGTTCTAGTTGGAAATGGTGCTAACAACACAATTGGTTGATTAAAATCTGGACTCAATAGTGGCCTTTATAAAATGAAGTTGAGATACCAGAAACTCCTTAGAGCAATAATATAGAAGAAGGCCACTAAGAATTTGGCCTAGATGGCTGGGACAGGGCAGGGACTAAGTATAGGTGTGTTGATTGAATGAGTGGATGATTAGGACTTGCCTGGTTTCTCATTAGGGCCATTGGTTCAGTATTCTAACTGAATCCAGGTCCTCTCAGCCCCAGCTGCTCCCCTCCAGTGTCTCCCCTCAGCTGCCGGAGTGATGCCGGGCCTGTCCACCATCTGCAGACTCTCCAGCCTAAACCATCGTCCCACTGCTGCCCTCTGCCCTCCAAAGCTCAGTTAGTATTCCATACGTGCAACTCTGCACTTGCACAATAAGGAGGATTTTCTAGTAGTTGGACAGCCATCTTTGTAGCTATAAATCCTGAAGAGCTATAGAACAAATTTGACAAATGGCACTTATACAATCTATCAGTTTGATTATCCCAAATTTGAAAATCATGAATGATAATTCAATTTACAGATGCTAACTTTTTCCCACTTTGGGCTCACTTATCAATGAAATGGTTCCATAACATTTTTTTTTTTTTTTTCTTTTTTTTTTTTTTTTTTTTTTTTTTTATTTTATTATTTTTTTTTTTTTTTTTTTTTTTTTTTTTTTTTTTTTTTTTCTTTTTTTTTTTTTTTTTTTTTTTTTTTTTTTTTTTTTTTTGTTTTTTTTTTTTTTTTTTTTTTTTTTTTTTCCTAGACAAGTCTTGGTATAATACTTTTTTTTTTTTTTTTTGAGACAGAGTCTTGCTCGTGTTGCCAGGCTAGAGTGCGTAACATCAGCTTAGCTCACAGCAACCTCAAACTCCTGAGCTCAAGGAATCTTATCCTGCCTTCAGCCTCCCCAGAAGTTAGCTGGGACTAACAGGCATGCCCACACTGAATCATGCCTGCCTAATTTTTTTCTAGTATTCTGGTTAGAGGTGGGGTCTTGCTCTTGCTCAGGCTGGTCTCCAACTCCTGAGCTCAAGCCATCCTCCCGCGCTTAGCCTTCAGATTCCTAGGATTACAGGCCCTGAGCACTGCACCCAGCCAGTGCATTCTGATTCATCATTTCCTTCCACATTTATTAGCCGGAAACAAGAATTCCCCTCCATCACTAGGGCTACTTATGTGTTTACCCTGGAAATTAGTTCATTGAGCAGGATAGAGCTTATTTCCTTTTTTAAAAAATAGACTTATTGAGATATAGTTCACATCCATATAATCATCTCATCATTTTAAAGTGTAAATTCAATAGGTTTTTAAAATTTTGTTATTTCAGCATATTACAGGGGTACATGTTTAGGTTACATAAATGTGCCTTTTGCCCACTGGAGTCAGAGCTTTCAAGCCGTGTCCGTCCACCCAGATGGTGTGCACGCATGCATTAGCTGTGTATATTACCCTCCCCCCTCCCCCACACAATTCAGTGGTTTTTATAATATTGAGAGTTGTGCCAACTATCACTACTAACTTCAGAACATTGTCATCCCTGTAGAAGAAGCCCCATATCATTAACACACACTCCCTATTCCTTCCTCCCCGAAGCTCTTGACACCAACTGACCATCACTTTGTGTATTTATTAATTTGCCTATCAAGGCCTTTCCATATAACACGTGGTCATTTGTTGACTGCCTTCTTTCACTTAGTTTTCAAGGGTTCATACATTGTAGCACCTGTCAATACTCATTCTTTTTATGTGCAAAATATCCATTGTAGTGGGTATACCACAATTGTTTATCTTTCATCAGCTGACCAAACACTTGGGGAACATCTGCCTGATTCTCTCTTTTGCTGTTGTGAATGGTGCTGCTATGAACACTGATGAACGGTTTTGCATGGACATATGTTTTCACTTCTTTAGGGGCATATACTGAAGGAGTGAAAATTTCTGTATCTTATAGACATTTTTAACATTTTGAAAGATGATTGAACTGCTTTCAAAGTGGCTGTACCATTTTAACAATCCCCACCAGCAATCCTTGAGGTCTGGTTTCTCCAAATCCTCATTAACACTTGTTATGTCTTTTTGATGCTTATTTTATTTTATTTATTGTATTTTTATTTAGAGACAGATCTCACTTTGTTGCCCAGGCTAGAGTGATGCCGTGGTGTCAGCTAGCTCAAGCAACCTCAAATCCTGGCTCAAGCGGATCTCCTGCCTCAGCCTTCCGAGTAGCTGGGGACCTGACAGCATGCAGCACCATGCCCAGCTAATTTTTTCTATAATATATTAGTTGGCAATTAATTTACTTTCTATTTATAGATAGGAATGGGCTCACTTCTTGCTCAAGTTGGTTGTTGAGACTCGTGACTTGAGGAAATCTCCCACCTCGGGCTGCCCAGAGTGCTAGGATTATTTAGGCGTGGAGCCAGCTGTGCCCGGCCTAATATTTTATAAGGTATATTTTTAGTGGCCAAGTTAATTTCGTTTCTTTTTTTTTTTTTATTTTAGTGAGACAGCGTCTCCACTCTTGTTCAGGCTTTAGGTCTTGAACTCCTGGCTCAAATGTCCCTCCCCACTTTGGCCTCCCAGAGTGCTAGGATTACAGGTGTGAGCCACTGTGCTTGGCCTCTGCTAATGCCTTTTCCAGGGTGCAGCCCAGGGGACTCACTGTATAAGTATTCACATCTCCTTGGTCTCCTCTGGTCTATGACGGTTCTTCTTTCTCTCCTGTTTTTTTTTTTTTTTTTTTTTTTTGAGACAGAGTCTCGCTTTGTTTTCCCAGGCTAGAGTGAGTGCCGTGGCGTCAGCCTAGCTCACAGCATCCTCAATCTCCTGGGCTCAAGCAATCCTCCTGCCTCAGGCCTCCAAGTAGCTGGGGAACAGGCATGTGCCACCATGCCCGGCTAAGTTTTTTCTATATATATTAGTTGGCCAATTAATTTCTTTCTGTTTATAGTAAGAGACGGGGTCTCACTCTTGCTCAGGCTGGTTTCGAAACTCCTGACCTCGAGCAATCCACGCCCCTCCAGTCCTCCAGCAGTGCTAGGATTACAGGCAAGAGCCACCACGCCCGGCTTCTCTCCTGGTTTTTATGACCCAGACAGTTTGAGGGGTGCTATAGCAGTATTTTACAGACTGTTCCTCACTTTGGATTTGCCCACTGTTTTTCCCATGTTACGACTGGGGTTATAGGTTTGGGGAAGGACACAACAGATGTAAAGTACCGTGCTAGTCATGTAGTATCAGCATGCAAACTATCGCATGTGCCCAGTTAGCATGATTAAGCAGTTTAAAGCAACACAAAGCCCAGGTGTAGTTCTCACACCTGTAGTCCCAGTGATTTGGGAGGCCAAGG